AGCCTACAGTCCTTGGTGATGGTAGGCATGTCAGTATCGTGTGAAAGCAGGCATGCAGCCTTTTTGTATAAATCCATGCTGTCACCTCACCCGGGGACAGGGACCCCGAGGACCAGATTTGGTATTGGGATGGGGTGTGATGTCAGGGAGACCACTTTGAAATCGCAGGGTAGAGGGGTGGATGCATGAGTATTCCATTCTTGTCCTCAGACTTGGGGCAGCCCGAAGTGCAGGGAGGGCGGTGGTGCTCTGCTGTGTGACTTTGGGCAGGTCTCTTAACCTCTCTGGGCCTCAGAATCCTGACCTGTAAAGTTGCAGCGGCACATTTCAGGGACTGTTCAGGGACTATCTCGGGTGCTGGGGAGCCGGCAGCATACGAGGCATGTGAGGGCCATGCTCTTGGGGGAGCGAGTGTGGTTTTAGGGGGGATAGGAGAATCCCTGCAAATGAACAAAACATATGTTCTTGGAGAGAGGCAACAGAGTGATGTGCTAGTACTGGCTAGGGTGGGGGGCTGACATCCTGGTGGTGAGACGGAGCCCCTCACACTGGGGAAGAGTTCCCCAGGTGGGGGACAGGCAGGTGCAGAGGCCCTCAAGTGGGAAGGGCTTGGTGAGGTTGAGAAAACACATGAGAAGACTGTGAGGCTGGCATGTAGAGAGAACAAGAGTCGAGGTGAGGTCGGAGTGGCTTGTCGAGCCCTGGATTTCACCAAGGGAGGGGCCCTGGGAGGGTTTGTGATGGTGAATGGCGAGCCTTTGCGTATTGAGGTGCAATTCCCCGTGCATTCAGTTTACTCCCTTAAAGCGTACTATTCAGGGGTTTTGGGTATGTTCACAGAGTTGTGCAGCCATCGCCAGTCAACTTGGGAACATTTCCATCACTCCAGCAGGAAACCCCATGCCCCCTCCCCCAGCCCCTGGCAACCACTAATCTGCTTTCTGTCTCTATGGATTTGTGTGTTCTGGACTTTTTATGTAAATGGAATCACACAAGGTGTGGCCTTTTGTGTCTGGCTTCTTTGACTCTGCACGATGTTTTCAAGGTTCATCCACATCGTCGTGTGTGTCAGTGCTTCGTTCCTTTTATAAAAATTGTGGTAAAATACACAGGCCATAAAATTTACCACCTTCACCCTTTTTGTGCATACAGCTCAGCGGCGTTAAGTACATCCACCATGTTGGGCCTGTGCGTCGTTTCCTTTTTAAGGCTGAATAATACTCCATTTTGTGGCTCCGCTCCTTTCCATATATCCATTCATCCATCAAGGGACGTTTGGGTTGTTTCCGCCTTTTGGCCATTGTGAGTATCGCTGTCGCGGACATACGCGCCCAGGAGCTTGTGTGGCTGCGGGTCTTCTCCCTTGAGTGTGTACCAAGGAACGGAGGTGCTTGGCCGGAGAGTAACTAGGTGCTAGGCCGAAGAGTAACTCCCCGCTTCACCATTCGAGGACTCTTCGTGTCTCACAAAGGTGGCTGTGAGCTGAACGGGCAAGGGCAGGCAGCTGGTGAGAGGCTGCTTAAGCACCTACGTCGGGGACCGGGCAGAGGTGACTTGAGCAAGGAGGTGTCTGTGGCAGTGACCAGGATCGGTGGCTTTTGGTGATATTTCGGCAACAGAGCCGTCTGAATGTGCGGGTAGATCTCGTGGCGGGAGCCAGGGGAAGGAACGGGGTGTGTCACCTGCCTGCCCGGGACTCAGGACACAGCAGGCTCTGCGTGTGACTGATCACTGAGCATCCCAGGGAGCAGCACCTGGGCCAGAGAAAGCCCACACGCCAAGCAGTCCGTGGCGGCCCAGCCAGGGCTGCCAGTTATGGCTGCACCGAAGGAGGGTGTTCTCCTGGCCCTACCCTGTTATGGGGGTGGCTCTGCACAGGCTGGAGGAAAACGGGTCCCTGGGCGGCAGGCATCGCGCAGCGGTGGCTCGGGTTAGCTGAGCGTGAAGGCCGCCCCCGGTCCTGGCCCCAGTCCTGGCTTTGGCACTGTTTGCCTCTGTGCCGGCTGCTTCAAGTGTCTGGTGCCATCTGCAGCCTCAACACACACGCACGCAGGACTCCCCGAGCTGCTCTGTTTGAGAGGATGGAGTGAGCCATCTCCCGCCCCCAGAAAGCCCCAGCAGTCTCCTGCTCTCCAGGTTGTGAGCTGCACACTGAGTTGGACAGGATAGGGGCCTCTAAAACGATTTGCCCACGTCCTGCCCCCCAGAACCTGTGGCTGTGGCCTTATTTGGAAAAGACGTAGATGAAATCAGGGTAAGGAACTCGAGATGAGATCATACTGGATTTAGGGTGGTCCTAAATCTAGTGACTGGTGTTTTCATAAGAGGAGAACACACAGGCGCATACGGGAGAAGGCCGTGTGATGACGGAGGCAGAGCCGGGAGTGCTGCACCCGTGAGCCGAGGATGCCTGGAGCCCCCAGGAGCTGGAAGAGACCAAGGAAGATCCTCCCCTAGAGCCTCCGGAAAGAATGCGACCCTGCTGACACTTAGGTTTCAGACGTGTGGTCTCCAGAACTGTGAGGGAATAAAGTCCTGTTGTTTTACACTTCTCAGTTTGTGGTCGTTTGTGACGGCGGCCCCAGGTCACTCTCTCCCCTGGCTAAGGCAGAGTCTGGGTGCCTTGTTGAAACCACCTTGGGACAGTGGGCCTGGGGGCTGTCTGCAGATGCACACATCTGTCCTTCTCTGGCCCACTGGCACAGGCCGTGTGGCCTAGAGCGCACCCTTCATTCGTCTGTCATCAGGAACTGGAGACCCACAGTCCGTTGCTGGCCCCCAGGCCAGTGGTGACTGAACCAGAGGGATAACACCAGGAGCAAGGCCCGGGGGGCGAGATGAGTATTTGGGGTTGTATCCTAAGGCAGTGGGTAGAGTTTGCCCTCTGCACCCTTGGTTTCTGATCCCTGCCTGGCACCATGTGGCCTTTACTCAGTCCCTGATCCTTGATGCTCAGCCCCCCTCAGAGAGGAGGTGTCGTCTTCCCCATTGTGCAGATGGGGAAACTGAGGCCCAGAGTGGTGTCCTGGCTGGGAAGTAGAGTTGCTGCTCAGCCCTGAGACAATCGCACAGAACATGTCCAAAACAAGGAATTAAAACCATAAACTAGAACCTTCTATCGCTTGCCAGAGCATGCTTGGTCCCACTTGGGTCTTGGCTTCTCTGAGATGTGATTGTTTCTGCAGCTAAACCCACGTTCCTCTGCCAGCTTAGACCCGGGAATACATGTTTTCTGTCATTAACTATTGTTGTTACAGAAGTGGTGGCTCTGGGGTGCATCACATGGCCCTTTGTGTGTGACCCATGGCTCTTCTCCCTATGAAAGTCATTTCCTAGATCAGGCTGGGAGCTGCAGTCTCCACAGCCTGCAAGAGACCAGCTTCTAAGTTGTCATTTGAAAGGAGGGAGCCCCAGCCTTGTTTCCAGCCTTTCCATGCGTGCTTCCCACAGGTGACTGTTGAGTGTCCCCCACTAGCCTGAGGTCCTGGGAACCCTTCCCAGAGCTCATGCCCGGTCCCAGACACCCCTGGTTCCATGCACACTACAGGTCCAGAAAGTCCTCCTGGATTCCCCAGAACAGGTGGACCCTACCACAGCACCCTGTCACCACCTGCCACCACCTGCTGAATCCATACACATGGCAGTTCCGCTCCTGAGCATGTGCCCACACAGTGAAAATGGGCTCAAGCAAACACTTGCTGGGCAAGAGGAGCGTGTGACCGGCTGAGGGACAGGATGAGAGCTGAGGGCTTAGTCCCGAAGATACCTGCTCACTTCCTTGACTGACTCATGATTAGAAATCTGTGTCTTGTGGCTTCCCAGCGCCCAGCAGCAAACATAAAATCAAAACAACTTTCTCTAAGGAGTCCAGCCCTCCCTTTGTTGACCCTGTCAACACCTGGGGAAAGTAGATATAATCAGTTTTCTTCTATTTAACGTAGAATGGTAGTGGGGACCCGCTGAATTGATTTTTTAACCTGCCAATCCAGGGATCAGTAAGCTGCGCTTGTTTTTGTAAATAAAGTTTTATTAGAACACGACCACGCCCATTCGTTTATGTCTCATCTGTGGCAGAGTTGAGTCATTTTGACGGAGACCACCTGGTCTGCAGAGGCGACAATACGTACCGTCTGGCGCTTTGTAGAAGGAGTTTGCGGGCCCCAGGACAATGGGTTTGTCCTGCAGTTTGAGACCTGCTGACTTAGAGCAACAGGGAAGGTTGGGAAGATGGTGGGCGGTTGTTCTCTCACTTTCCGGGGCCCCTGAACCACCTTGGAGATGAAGGATGCAAACTCCTGGACTCCTCCCAGATTCTGCTTCTGAAGATCCACTGTGGGAGCCTGAATTCTGAGTGGGGACCTGAAGACCTTGTCGTGCAGGCCTTTCCAAGAGGCCTGTGCACTGTGGTCACCAGGGCTGTGCCAAGCAGAGGGAGAGGGCCAGCCTTGGTCAGGGGTGTGAACCAGCTGTCTGGCGGTAGGTTGGTGGCACGGTGGTATTTGTTGGTCCATAGAGCCAAGGAAGGTGTTCCACTGTCATTGTTCCTAAAGCTGGCCAGGGGTACAGTGCAAAGTGACTCCTGTCCTTGCAGTGGGCCTTCTGGTCCTGGTTGGAATTAATTAGATTTCTCTGGGTCAGAGCTGGGCCATTGCAGGTATTGTGGGAGGCTAAGTGTCAGCCCTTTTCTGCTGCTTTCTGTGTTGGGGGCTTTCTGGTTTCTGGTGCTGGGGGATTTCTGTTTTTGCAGGCTCAGCGGTCAGGATTCAGAGTACTTACTTGGTGCTAGGGAGTTTTTCAAATGGGACCCTCTGGAAAATGCCGTGGTGATGTCAGGGGTGGGATGTGGCCTGGAAGCATCAAAGATGCGTGGTACCTACTGGGTGCTCACCCCATCCATTTCTGCCTCCAGGGGCATTTGGCAGCATCTGGGGATGTTTTTGGTTGTCAGGACTTAGAGCCGGAGGATGCTATGCTATTGGTATCTGGTGGGTGGAGTGGGGATGCTGCTCAACACCCTGCAGTGCCCTGACAGCTCCACCCCACCTGTGGTGCCCCCCAACCCCGACAGCCCCTTCCCAGAGGATAACCTGGCTCCAGGTGTCTGCGGTGCTAAGGCTGAGCAACCCTGCTATTGCAGCCCTCGATATGCTGGGGTTGTGCAGGCGCAGAAGGGCTGGGTGGAGCCCCGGTTCCATGAGATACGAGTGTCAAGCCTGGCAACAGGTAACAACACCCCCGGGCAGCGATGGTATCCTCCCCAGTTTCTAGAGGGGGAGACTGAGGCTTGGAGAATGTCACAGAGCATTAGAAACAGGTGAGTTGGGGTTCGATCCGAGTTGGACTAACCCAGTGTCCTGTATGTTTTCTTTCTTTTCACGCTGCTCTGGGAGTTTGCCAGCCGGTCAGGGTGGAGCAGAGCCTTCCGGGCTCCTAGAACCCTGTGCTCTAGGAGCATAGACTTTCATGGGCAGAGCAGCGGCGAGGGAGGTGGGACAGGTGGTGGAGAGCCCTGGGCCAGACCCTGCATGTGGGCCATGGGGAGCCATGGAAGGTTCCAGCAGGATGACAACATAAGTGACATGAAGATGCAGGGAGTGGCAGGAGCCAGACTTGCTAGAGCCCACGTGTGTATGGCCAGTGGGTTGTTGCAGTAACCCACGAGAAAGAGCTGCTGCTTTTCCTGTTGCAGATATGAGAAACTGGTGGGAGAGGTGATATGGCTTACTGTGTGTGGAGGGGCCAGGTTTGAACCCATGCCTGATTCTGGGGCTCATGTTTTTCTTAACGTAGGCATAGAGGGACCCTTTTGTATGCTGGACTTTAGTTCATATCCATCTGTTGAGGATCATGAAGGTTGTCCCTGGGTTTTTGCAAACCAGACATTCATCACATTTGTCCCCATGCATGCACGCACCAGGTGTGGCCTCACCTGTGTGTCCTTACCTGTGTGTCCTTGTGCTCCATAGCAGGGAGGGGGTATGCAGCAGCTTAGGGTGGGCCATGGTGAGGACAAAGGGAGGGCTGATTTGGGACATGTAGGGGGTAATAGTGACAGAGTTAATCAGGAGGTCAGAGGAAGGAGGGCAAGGTGGGGCTCACTGTGATGGGGGAACCACAGAGAACCAGGGGTGGGGGTGGGAGAGTCCTATTTTGCTTTGGAGCTCATGGGATGGAATGGCCCCGTGTTTCTGGCTGGGGTGTCTCTGACCCCCTCTCCTTCCTCCTGCTACCACATCCAGCCCAATGCCAGAGGTGGGTGCCCAGCCCCAGCTGGGCGTAGCCATGGTGCTGCCGGTCAGATGGGGGTCCAGGTGCACAAACAAGGAAGCCACTGCCTGCCTCACGGGCCAAGGACATAGAGAGAGTCAATATTTATTATTTGCCAAATGGAAACAAAGTACAGAAAATGTGGGGGGATTCTGTAGCACCTGGTGCCAAGCCCAGGGCCATGGCTGCTAGGCTTCTCCTTGCTTCCTTCTGGGTGAGCTTAGATCCGGGTGAGTTTCCTCTGTGCTCTACTTCCTCTCTGTGAAGCAGAGGTCACGGTGGTCTCTGGTCACTCTGTGGTCAGATTTAGGTTAATGCACGTAAGGCATCCAGAATCGGGCCAGTACATAGATGCTCACTGCGTGGTCGCTGCTGCTGAGCTCCTGGAGGTGTGTGCACAGTGAACGCATGGCGGCGCTCAGTGGGCACTTTTCAGGTGGCGGGTGTTCAGCAGGCACACTGTGTGTACTTAGCAGGTGCTCAGCAGGTACCTGGCAGCAGGCACATAGTGGACTCTTGGTGGGCACACCACAGACACTCAGCAGGCATTTAGCATGCACACAATAAGTACTTAAGCATTCAGCAGGCACACAGTATGTGTTCAGCAAGCATTCAGCAGGAATTCAGCAGGCACACAGGATATGCTCAGCAGATACTCAGCAGGCACGTAGTGGGCATTCAGCAGGTGCTAAGCAGACACTGGACTGTGACTTCCTTGAGGGCAGGCCTGTCTCCAGGTCATTCTGGAATTGCCTAGGTGCAAGCGTCCTTTAAAAGGGCCAACTTCCCACCACACAGTCAGGCTTACCCCTTAAATACCAAGAATGTGTTGTGTATTCCTGTTATCAATCTGGAACACGTAACATGGTGCCGAGGGGCCAAGGACCCAGGTGGGAACATGGTGGTCTTTCTGGAGCTTCAGTCTGCCTGAACAACTTCAGGGAGAAGGTTTGAGTATTGACCATGCGTGGTGTATTATGGGATGGACTGCAGATGCATGTGGGCTTGGGGCCAGTGGGCCTGGGGCAGCATGATGCCCTGGGAAACAGCATTAAGAAGTGTCAAGGTTGCCCAGTGAGGTCTCCCTGCAGTGGCCACAGTTTGGACTGGAAGGTCCATTGCTCCAGTCAGTATGTATTGAGCACCTACCTGGTGTTGTGTTGTGGGGATGCCTTGCTGAACAAGTCACTGGAAACAGTGGCCAGCTGGTCCCCAGCCCTCAGGTCATGGCTCTAAGAGAGTGAAATGGGGTGGGCACCCTTTGGGGGAGGCGATGTTTGAACTGAGCCCGGGGGATGAGGACGAGCCATGGGAATGGAGACCCTGAAGCTTGTCATAGAGGGAAATCCTGACCTGATCGAGCTCAGGGAATGCTACCTTGTGGGCTCTGGTCAGGGTCTGGTAGTGGGGTGCTCTAGGAAGGTTTTAAGCAGGGCTGTGATGTGAGATGTAGGTTTAGCAAAGATTCCTCTGACTGCCATATGAGGGGTTGCAGGGACATGAGAGGAGACTGGGGCAGGAGTCTCCTCCCTCCACGCACGCCCCCCAGAGGTCATGGGTGCTAGATTCATTACAAACCAGGACTTGCTGACTTGGCACATGTTCTTTCATCTAAGAATCAGGAATCTGATTCCCCAGGCAGATGATGAGGTTGGGGGGGGGGTATATTAAATAGCCTTGACTTTGTGCTCTGGGGGCCCCGGTACTGAGGAAAGGCATTTTTGCAAGAGACCCGGAGTCCTAATTTCATACGTAAATTCCTCTTTCTCTGTGGTCCCAGCTTGACACCCCACTGGTCATGGGGGCTTCAACCCAAAGCTGGGGTGTGGCATTCTGTCCAGAGAGGTGAGTCTCTGCCTGGAAGGACAGACTTCCTGAGTCAGCTAGTGGACCAGCAGTCATTCCCAGATACAGCCTAAATGCTCCATGGTCTCTCCCTCATTGCCTAGGGCTCCCTGTCCAGGGGTGGAGTCCCTTGAGAACTTTCGCAGCCTGCCTTCCCTGCTGCTGGGCTTGCAGGGAAGCTCTCCGCCACACCTTTTTTTCCCTTAAAAAAAAAAAAAAATCATTTATGTCTCAAAACTGATGAAAATTGAAAACAGAAAACCTAAAGCACTTCCTGTTTCTTCCGTGCATCTGACACGGCTCACCTGGGCACAGGAGGGGTGGGGGGGGCGGGGGGGTGACTGCCAGCTGGTCATTTGCCTGGAAATCTCTGGGAGGAAGTGTCGGCCCAGCCAGGCAGAGTGCCTGGGGCTAGCTCTGCAGGGCCAGCCAGTCCTCGGACCCGAGTCGGGCTGGGGACATGGGGCAGCAGAGCATGTCTCGCAAAGGGGTCACTGTGTCCACGCCCAGCCTGGCTAAAAAGCTTTTCTCAGTAAGTTCAGTGTTTCTCAAGTAACTGAACCTGCTGCCCTCTTCTATGGGTCCTTTTGCACCTGTGAGCATCGTGCTTTCTCCATTCCTTCTGTCCTCCCAGGCAGGCGGGGTTTGATAGCTGTAATTAGGACGGGAGCGGCTCATTAAATCATCACGGAATCAATGCACAGCCCCGGGAGTGATTTGTAGGCCCAGCAGCCTCAGTCTTTGCCTGCAGGTGGCAAGGAGATGCTAATTCCCTCACCGCTGGCTCAGCACTTGCAGAGGGAGGAGCCTTGAGGGTCCATAACAGGGCCCTGCTGGGGACCACTTGTGTCCCCCGCTATCACCCCAGCGACTAGCCAAGTGGCTCTCTCTGGCTCAAGCCCTGCCTCTGCTGGCTTCCCTCAAATGACTCCACTTCTCGGTGTCTCAGTTTCCCATCTGTAGAGTTGTACAGATTAGGACATAGCTCTGTGCCTGACTGGCATCAGGGTGCCCCGTGGGACAGCTGTGAGGGCAGGGTCTCACCCTTTGCACCCGTGGGCCATGGTTTGGCATGTGACAGATGCCACCACATGGCTGTTCAGATTTGTTTGGGGGGGGGCAGTGGGCTTATTCATTTCTCTTCACTTTTTCTTTTGAGATAGTTTTGGATTCAGCGAGAAGCACAGACCATTTCATTACCTCCTCACCACCTTGAACATGTCACGTGTCAGTGAGGGTGTCAGCACGGTTCTATTAACTAGACTCTGGACTGCCTTTGGATTTCCCCAGATGTCCACCAGTGTGACCTTTTTCTGACCCAGGATCCCGTCCAGGCTCCCATGTCGCATTTGGTCGTCGTGTGTCCTTGGTCTCTGATCCAGGGCCACTGCTTAGGGTTTCTGTGTCATCTGTGACCTTCAACCCCTTGATGAGAACTGCTCTATCTTTTTGTTGCTCAGGGTGGTTTTCTGGTATTTTCTTGCAGTTGAGCTGAGGTGGTGGGTTTTGGGCAGGAATCCCATAGTGCCAATTGTCTTTTTATAGTTTTCCTTTTTTTAAATTGTGCTAAAACATACATAAAATTTATCATCTTAAAAATTGTTATTTTATTTTAATTAAAAAAATTAATGTTTATTTATATTAGAGAGGGGGACAGACAGAGCACGCGCGGGGGAGGGGCAAAGAGAAGAGACAGAATCTGAAGCAGGCTCCGGGCTCCAAGCTGTGAACTGTCAGCAGAGTCTCAAACTCATGAGCAGTGAGATCATGATCTGAGCTGAGCCACCCAGGGGCCCCTTACTTTAATTTTTTAAGTCAATTTATTTATTTTGAGACAGAGAATCCCAAGCAGGCTCCACACTGTTAGTGCAGAGCCGGGTGCGGGGCTTGAACTCACGAACTGTGAGATCATGACCTGAGCCAAAATCAATAGTTGGACGCTTAACCAGCTGAGCCACCCAGGGGCCTACTGATCTTAATTATTCTTAAATGTGTGGTTCAGGGGCATAAAACACGTTCACATTGTGGTGGTGCTACCATCCCCATCTCCGGAACTTTTTTCATCTTGCGAAACTGAAACTCTGTCCCCATTAAACACTAATTCCTCGTCCTCTCTCCCCCTGCCCCTGGCTCCTA